ACGTCGACGCTAGGTTGGCCATGCTGCTCAGCGTGGAAGAATGCTCTGCGCCAAGTATCCTTGAGCATATCTCTAACTCCTCCGCTTGCAGCTCTTCGGCCTCCTTCCATCGGCCTTGATTCCTGTACGTCGACGCCAGGTTGGCCATGTTGGTCAGTGTGTCTGGATGCTCTGCGCCAAGCTCCTTCTTTTCCATCTCGAGAACCTGGGAATAAGCGACCTCTGCCTCTCTCCATCGTCCGTCGGCGTCGAGGCACGTTCCATATCTCCATTGGAGATCTATCCTCTTCTTCAAATCCTTCTGAACGAGGTCAGACTGTAGTACAACGCGCACGTGCGGCAGGTATGCCCTCCATATACTCCTGTTGGAGTGGGTATTGTCGGGGAAAATTTCCTCTAGTCGCACGACTGCTTTCTCTGTCCACTGGACCAGTTGATCGTTCTCCTGAAGCCAGTTCCGAGTAGCTATATACACTAACCGATGAAGATCGACCGTATGACCTGCTGGACGTTTACTAATAAATGAATACGCGTAAAGCGTCCCGATAGCGTCTACCTCCTTCTTGCGAGATAGGCCGGGTGGAAAAAGACTCTGTGGGATATCTTTTGGCTCAATACATGCCATTAAAGACAAGTAGTCTGCTGCCAAAGAATCGTGCTGCTGAATTCGCTCGAACGATATTAGCCATGTTGTGGCTACTGGGTTCTTGATATTGCGGTATCTGCCGTCATCTTCAAAGTCTTCGCTCAGAAGTTCAATCATAGACTCATCCTGCTCATCAAGTAAGGAAAGATAGTCCGCGATCGAGGTGCCGTTCGCATTGATATACGCTGCCGCCTGAACAATGGCGAGCGGGAGGTAAGTTAGCTGTATGAGTAAGGAATCAGTATCTGTTTGGCAGGCAGCTACATCGTGTCCGATCAAGCATTTCTGTAATAGCTCTGAAGCCACCTCTGCGTTCATTTCCTGTACTTCTACCAAGTTCTGAGACGCCAGCTTGGTAGCAGCCTTCCTATCTCGCGTAGTAAAGAGGATACTTCCTCGCCTGCTCTTTGGAAGGTAGTCGAGGAGACGGAATGATTGTCTCTCAGCTGGTTTTCCCATCCACATATCCAAGTCGTCGGCGTTGTCAAACACCAGGAGCCACTGGCCCGCGCTTTCGTTACTGAGGTAGTTCTGAACTAGACGTTTCACGTCTGCTCCTTGCTCGTCTTTTCCAGGTATATCCAACTCTTCGGCGACTGCCGAGTACGCCTGAAGAAGGGTTTCGGGATCGGTTGCGGGAATCCAAAATACTGAGCAGTCCCTCTGTTTCTCCATGGTCCGATAGACCGTCTCAATCGCTAATTGTGTCTTCCCTACGCCTCCAAGCCCTGTAATTGCGACCTTTACGGTTTGGCCATGTCGAAAAAGTAGTTTTTCAATTCTAGAGAGTTCGGATTCGCGACCGGTGAAGCGAAGATTGCGCTCAAAGGGAATAGTACGTGCTAGCTTTTCGTCTAAACAATGGAACACATTAGCAAATGGAGATACAACATGAATAACAAAGACCTCACATGACCGCGATTTATGCTCAGAGTCCTTGATCTCTCGTCGCAACCTTCTCATTGCATTCTCTTGCCCTTCGCCATATATAAGTGGCAAGAAAATGCCGAAAATTCCGAGGAGACAGTATGCCATGTCCTCCTCTTCGGTCGTTTGTCGCTTCTCGACCCATCGAAACCTCTCCTCAACGCTGAAGTCATGGAGAGGACGACGTTGGAGTGCCTCTATGGCGATTCCTGTTTCCTCGCAGATATGTCGTTCAAGTGACTTTCTATCACCTAATCGGACGTGATCTCGGGAATAGAATTCGACTATTTTCGGCGCGAGAAGCTCTTGGAGTGTCCATCCTCGTCTAAACCATCGGTTATTGCGCAAAGACGACTCCCACTCGATATGTGCAGCCTGCCTATCCTGCGTGCGCACTGAAACGTCTAAGAGATAGACGTAGCATCGCGCTGCATTCTGGTACCAGCGAAACATAGAGTTTATCGCCTTCGTAAGTTCGTTGGGATCTGACTTGTCGATGCAGCATGTATCCACCCAGAAATAGGATAGACCGTCGGATTTGGCTTGACCCCCGCAGAATACCAGCTTGTGGTATCCAGCCTTATTCTTTCCAACACCGCCCACAACGTCCTTGAATGTGACTTCATCGCTGTCGCTTCCCCATGTATGAGAAAGTATGGCATAAGGAGGGATCGTGGTTCCGAAGGTCTCCAGGGTGAACCCGCCGTTGCCGTTGAGCTTTAAGAGGCGCATCGTTGGCCGTAGTAATCGACAGAGATTGTCATTATCGAGGAATCGTGACTGCTAGTCTGGGATATTCGAACAGCAGATTAGCAGGGTCGTAGACGCATCAAGACGAACCGCGACGATGTGAGGGGCTGACGGCTGACTTTTGTTCAAGATCATCTTAGATGGGGGTCATCGAAAAGCACGGATGTGCGGTGGTCATTCAAATTCATATATCGACACAGTAATTATGAAAATACCTTCCAGGTTCCTGCTCTAGTCCCATCTAATTACTGTTCCTTCACACAGGGACACTCCACCCCACCCATAGAATTATAAGAATTACAATATGTGTGGAGACTCTGAGTTGGGTTTGAAGTCAAAGTAATTACCCCGGATTCGTCCAAGCACAGCGGGTGTCCGATCAGTCCATCATGCAGTGGGGAAGGTTCGTTGAATTTTCAAGAGTTCAAGACCAAGACCGACATCCACGATGTGCTAGCCATCCAGTCTAGCAAATACTCCCGAATTCTGGGTCTTAAGGATGATGACTGCGGACTGGAGCTATCCATCTCGAGCAGTCTGGGACCTCACTACATCTACAATAGTAAGACAAAGCCCCATCTCGCACATTCAAGTAACAAGATCTTCGTAACCTCCCCCCTGCGTGATGGAACACTCGCCGTGCTGGGACGAATCCAAGGTACTTTAACTTCAAACCGACTCAGAGTCTGCACACACCTTATAATTCTTCTAATACTGTAAACTATGTTCTTCAACCAGTTCCCAATGTGCGGGACTATATCTACCTTCAATATTACAAAAGCCTGGTTACTAGTCGGCTAATTTCCGCAGAGTAATCGGAGTGCACTTGAGACGGCGTGGCAGTATTTTATGCTACAACGCCACTATCATCGTATTTTCTTTTAAAAAGATCACAAGCGGAACAAACTCATGCCATAGTATCCCGTTATTATGCTATAAATCCTTCGTCTAAAGTGTACGTTGTGTTGGAAACAATCTTAAATATTTCTACTACGCCGGTCGGTACTTGTGGTCGATCAAACTTCCGCTTTCGGCGATCCGTACAGCCAGGGGACTATGGATAAGTATTTTTATGGTAAACTAGCGCTGTCGATCTAAATTCTCTAATAGTGACGATGAAGTGAAGGAGTGAAGAGCGATGGTGGCTTAGAATTTAGAAGGTCCAACAACGAGGCTCCAACATCAACCTGATTAGTGTCTAGTTAAGACAGGACCCCCGGTTTGTAACCACCCCACTTTGTAACCAACTAAACCCCCTCAATCTGGAGATGAGACAGATCAATAAAATACATCTACCACCACACAATCATGCTGTAACTGTGTCGAAATGCCTCCAGTTAATGAAGAGGCTATAAAGCTCGCGATTCAGGCTTATATTAATAAAGAATTTGACTCTATACATAAGTGCGCGGACCAGTACGGTGTTACCTACTCCACGCTCCAAAAGCGCCTCCAAAACGACCGCCAATCGCACCAAATTGGTGCTCAAAAGCTCCAGAAGCTGTCTCCTGTACAAGAACGATATCTAGCGGAATGGATAGCCCTGGAAGACCGGGCTTCGAATGCCCCCTCCCACGGCAGGGTTCGTCAAATGGCAGAAGCAATTGCCCGCGAAAATGGTGACCACACGCCTTGCGGGAAGAACTGGGTGGACGGATTCCTCAAGCGAAATCCCCATATAAAAACTATGGTGGGCAAATCAATCGAAGCTTCCCGCGTAAATTGTTCGTCCAAGGAAATCATAGCGGCCTGGTTCAACCTTCTCCAGAGCCTGATCGACCAGTTTCACATCAAAACGGAGAATATCTGGAATTTCGACGAGCACGGGATTGCGCTTGGGTGCGGCGTAAATGGGCGTGTCTTAGCACCAATACAAGAGAAAAAGATGGGGAAGAACAGCAGGAAAAAGACCTATATCAAGACTCCGGAGGACCGCGAGTGGGTCTCCGTCATTGAGGCCATTTCAGCCGTTGGCCGCGCGATCTCTCCGCTCATCATCTTCAAGGGCAAAAACCTCCAATCTACGTGGTTCCCTGCGGATCTCTCGAGCACGAAGGACTGGCATTGGACAGTTTCAGAGAACGCCTGGACGTCAAACGAAATCGGGCTCAAATGGTTGGAGAAGAAGTTCCTCCCGGAGACCGCACCAAAAGACCGTACGGAATGGCGTCTCCTAATTTGCGATGGGCACGGATCGCACGCGACGGTCGAGTTCATGAAGAAGTGTAAGGATAATAAGGTAATTGTCCTATATCTCCCTCCCCATTGCTCCCATCTGCTTCAGCCCCTAGATGTCGCTTGTTTTTCGGCCCTGAAGAGTAAATATCGCAAGGAATTAACCCAATTGAGCTCCCTCGACGACTCTGCCCCAGTTAAGAAGCATAATTTTATAAACATTTATAATAAATCCCGCATTGAAGCTTTGATAAACCATAATATCCGCGCTGGGTTCAGAGGCACCGGAATCTGCCCATTCAACCCACACAAAGTATTAAATAGCACCCAATTAAACGAGAACCATACTATACAACGTCATGTGACCCCAGAGCCCATATATGATTATATATTTAATACACCCAAAGGCCCAAAAGACGTGTATACGGGGAAAAAGTTTGAGGACATGTCTGGACGGGATTTCAGGGGTTTACAGGGGAAATTGGCCAAGGCACTCTCAAAGAAGAACGTCGAAATCGCAGCACTGAAAGCGCAAGTTGCAAAGCTCGAAAAATCACTGGAAGACATAGGCGGATTGTCTAAGAAAAGGAAAAGAGTCCAAGTCGACCAAAATGAGCGATTTGCGACGATTGATCAGATTGTTGCTGCGCAAGAAGAAGCAAGACAAGCGGAGCTGAAGGAGGCGAAGAAGAAGCCCAAATTTGACGCGCAAAAAATTTCGGACGAGCTGCAAAAAGCAGAATTCGAATCACTTTGCTCACAGTTTCAGATATAATATATAAATTTCAATATTGGTGGAGTTATTATACAGAATCTATAGTCCTCTGTTGTTGGTGTTGCTGCGTGTGAAGTGGTTACAAATCGGGGTGGTTACAAACCGGGGGTCCTGTCTTACCTAACTATTTGCTATAACTAACTACGGCTCTACTCTAACGCCGCCTTGGCTAGGCGCGGCTCTGCTACTCCGCCTCCCTTGCTGCCAGTCGTCAGCCCATATATACCCCAATCCATCCCAACTTCGAGTGCTTGTAAAGGCATCTCTGCGATGAATTGGTTCGATTGCCATCGGGTTCATGGCTCAAATCATCCTCTCGTGAGGCCCACGCCTTCTTAAATCCAGTGTAACAATGCGCCTTTTACAACTCGACGATTACCCCAGCTTCAGCCTGGCCGAGTTTGCCGAAGATGAGGTTCCTCGCTATGCCATACTCTCGCACACTTGGGGACATGACGGCGATGAAGTCACGTACAAAGACATCACAGATGGCACTGGAAGTGGCAAGGCTGGCTACGACAAGCTCCACTTCTGCGCAGTCCAAGCCAAGACTGACGGGCTGGGCTACTGCTGGATAGACACCTGTTGTATCGACAAGACAAATGCCGCCGAGCTTACCGAAAGTATCAACTCCATGTTTCGATGGTACCAGAATGCCATCAAATGCTATGTTTTCCTTACGGATGTCTCGGCTTCTATGAGCGAAGATGACAGAGACTCCCAGCTACGGAATAGTCGGTGGTTCACTCGAGGCTGGACGATACAAGAGCTCATTGCTCCCCGATGCGTCGAATTTTTCTCGCAAAAGCGCGAGCTGCTTGGAGACAGAAAGTCGCTAGAAAAGCAGATTCACCAAGTTGCTGGCATTTCCATTCACGCGCTTCGAGGGGAGCCGCTGTCTCACTTTACTATCGATGAGCGCATGTTATGGGCGGCAAACAGAATAACCAAGCGACCCGAAGACAAAGTTTACTCTCTGCTTGGAGTTTTCGATATTCATATGGAAGCTATTTACGGCGAGGGCGAGCATCACGCATTTCGGCGGCTCCTTAGGGAGCTCGAGAGATATTCGGAAAACCACCAGTTAAGCGAGTTGTTTCGGGATCAACTACTAGTATCCTCCGCCAGACAGCCAAAAACACCCCTAGAAAATCCGACATGGGTTGTGCCGTTTGAGCGGAACTCTCGCTTCACTGGCCGTGAGCCTGAGCTGGCTCGGCTCGAAGAAATGCTGTTCAGCAAGCATCGTACCGCGAAGCTTGCGATCACTGGACTTGGAGGTGTAGGAAAGACCCAGCTTGTTATCGAGCTGCTGTACCGCGTCGCCGACAAGCAAAAGCACTGCTCGGTTATCTGGATTTCCGCAGTCAACATGGAAAGCCTACACCAATCATACTTGGACGCTACTCGGCAGCTTGGCATATCTGGATTTAAAGACAACAAGGCGGATATAAAGAGACTGGTGCAGGACCATCTGAGCAAAGAAAGTACAGGGCGGTGGCTGCTAGTGTTCGACAATGCCGACGACATCTATATGTGGATTGCCAAGGCTGGACCTGGGCTGCAGCAGCCTGGGCAGGGATCGCACCCTTTGATCGACTACCTCCCAAAGAGTAAGCAAGGAGCTGTTATATTCACGACGCGGGACAGGAAGATAGCAGTCAAGCTCGCGCAACAGGACGTCGTGGACGTTCCGGAGATGGGAGAAGACGCGGCTTCCCAATTACTAGGGAAGTGCCTGGTTAATACGGAGCTCGCCAAAAGCGGGAAAGAGACGGGTGCACTCCTTTTACAGCTCACCTACCTTCCGCTAGCCATTGTCCAGGCAGCGGCGTACATTAATGAGAATGCAATATTACTTACAGACTATCTGTCGCTCCTGGTCGAACAGGAGGAAGAGGTGATTGATCTCCTTAGCGAGGAGTTTGAAGACGACGGGAGGTATCGCGATATCAAGAATCCGGTAGCCACAACGTGGTTAATCTCGTTTGATCAAATCCGGCGGCGCGATCGGCTGGCGGCCGATTACTTGTCGTTTATGGCCTGTGTAGAGCCAAAGGACATTCCACAGTCTCTTCTTCCGCCAGGGGCGTCGCGGAAGAAGGAGGTGGAAGCGATCGGAACACTTACCGCGTATTCGTTCGTCAATAGGCGGCCGGCCGACGAGTACCTCGATCTCCATCGGCTGGTGCATTTAGCAACGCGGAACTGGTTGCGGAAAGAAGAGCTGCTTGCGCAATTAACCGAGAAAACTATTATGCGACTAGAAGAAGTTTTCCCCGATGATAACCACGAGAACCGAAGCGTCTGGAGGGCTTACCTACCCCATGCGCGCTATATGCTAGGGTCCAATCTTGTGGATAAAGATTGGAAACCCAGGATGGATCTTATGTGGAGGTACGGAATGTGTCTTTACAAAGATGGACGATGGAATGAGGCTGAAGAACCGATTAATCAAGTGTTCGATATGGAGAAAAGAGTGCTTGGCGCGGAGCATCCCTCCACGCTGACCAGTATGGCCAACCTGGCGTCGACGTACAGGAATCAAGGCCGGTGGAAGGAGGCCGAAGAGCTGGAGGTGCAAGTGATGGAGACAAGAAAGAGGGTACTTGGCGCAGAGCATCCAGACACGCTGAGCAGCATGGCCAATCTAGCGTCGACGTTTTGGAATCAAGGCCGATGGAAGGAGGCCGAAGAG